AATGGTGCGATCTTGGCTTACTGCAACCTCCACCTCCTGGGTTCAAGCAATTCTCCTGCCTCAGCCTTCCGAGTAGCTGGGATTACAGGCATGCACCACCACGCCGGCTAATTTTTGTATTTTTAGTAGAGATGGGGTTTCTCCAAGTTGGTCAGGCTCGTCTCAAACTCCCAACCTCCTGTGATCCACCCACCTCGGCCTCCCCAAGTGCTGGGATTACATGCGTCAGCCACCGCGCCCAACCTCAGCCTGGAATCATTTTTGAAAGCTCCCTGGATGTTCCTGACAATCAGCTCGATTTAGAAATCTGGCGGGTGCAGTGGCTCACGCCTGTAATCCCAGCACTTTGGGAGGCCGAGGCAGGCAGATCACCAGATCAGCAGGTCAAGATCAGCCTGACCAACATGGTGAAACACTGTCTCTACTAAAAATACAAGGTGGGAGTCTGCCGCGGCAACCAATCATAAGCAGACGCTGCCCAGTTTCCCGCGCACACTGGGGACTTTAGCTACTGCGCATGCCTGCGCCTAGGTCGCGCGCAGACCCGCAGACCTGCGTCCTTGGTAGAAAGCAGTTCTCAAGTGTTTTCTTAGGTCCAAGGCTTGGAGCCCCTGGGTGGGTGGATGCAAGGGTAGGCAGCCACCAGGTGGGAGATTTCCGGCAGGTACTGAGCTCGTAATGTGCCCGGAAGCATGGGAGTAACATCAGAAGGAAACTTGAAAACAAAACAAAACAAAAAACTAGCCTTCCTCCTCCTCCCACTATTTTGTTCAAACGTGTGCCCCTCTCCAACTGCCCCTCCCTTTTTCTTTTTAAGCAAACTGCCAACATCGGGATTACGGGTTTATTCTACACAACCTCCTTAACTGCTGCCTTTTAGCCACATTATCGTTTCGTCCACTCATTGACGATTCACTCATTCAAAAACATTTATATGGCCTGCTACGTCCCAGACTGCTCTTGGCTCTGAGGATCACCAGTAAAAAGAAAAATCACTGCCTTTATTCTGCTTACATTCTAATATGAGAAGATTCAGATAATGAATATAGCAAGTAAATGAAATGGTACGTTAGAAGATAAGTGTTTGTGGCCCGGCGCGGTAGCTCACGCCTGTAATCCCAGCACTTTGGGAGGCCGAGGTGGGCGGATCACTTGAGCCCAGGAGATTGACAGCACCCTGGGCAACATGGTAAAACCCATGTCTGTGATCCCAGGTATTAGCGGGGCTCAGGCGAGAGGATCACCTGAGCCCGGGAGGTCGAGGCTGCGGTGAGCCGTAAATTGTGCCACTGCACTCCAGCCTGGGCGATAGAATGAAGACCCTGTCATCAAAAAATACAAAATAAAATAAATAAAAAGAAGACAAACGTTTGACGCCGGGCGTGGTGTCACACGCCATAATCCCAGTACTTTGGAAGTCCAAGCCAGGAGGATCGTTTGAGCCCAGGAGGTTGTCTGCCCTCAGCTGTGTTCATGCCACTGCTCTGCAGCTGTGGCGGCAGAGCGAGAGAACCCGTCTTGAGTGGGGGAAGGGAAGACCAGTTAAGGAAGAGGAAGGTTGAAATTTTAAAATGTTAGCAAACAGCGAGGCACAGTGGCTCACGCCTGTAATCCCAGCATACTGGGAGGACGAGGCGGGTGGATTACCTGAGGTCAGGAGTTTGAGACCAGCCTGGCCAACATGGCGAAACTCCCTCTCTACTAAAAATAAAAAAATTACCGGGCATAGTGGTAGGCGCCTGTAAGGCTACTGGAGAGGCTGAGGCAGGAGAATCCCTTAAACTTGGGAGGTGGAGGTGGCAGTGAGCCAAGATCACTCCACTACACGCCAGCCTCGGTGACAGAGCCAGACTCTGTCTCAAAAAATAAATAAAATGTTAGCAAACACCTGAAGGAGATCAGGATCCATCCTGCAAAATTAACTCTTAGAAAAGGTTTTTGCTGACCAGTAGCCGTGGCTCACGCCTGTAATCCCAGCACTTTGGGAGGCCGAGGTGGGCAGATCACCTGAGGTCAGGAGTTCGAGACCAGCCTGAATAACATGGTGAAACCCCGTCTCTACTAAAAATACAAAAAAAAATTAGCCGGGTGTAGTGGTGGGCGCCTGTAATCCCAGCTACTCGGAAGGCTGAGGCAGGAGAATCCCTTGAACCTGGGAGGCGGAGGTTGCAGTGAGCC